TATATATAAAATGATTTTTAGAAAAAAAAAAAAGAGGGGGGCCCACGGCACCCCGGGCCTCATAGGGCTCCATCCCTGGTGACATGTAAATTGACTTAAGTCTTGGATGACATAATAAAAAATATATAAAAGTAACAAAATTTATTCCAATGCATATTAGGTCTCTAATTGAGTGTGGAATATACTTAAAGGTTTTTTCTTGTTGTCACATCAGCAAGACTCAGTCTACTTGCACTCGTATTGGAGTATATATTTTTCTAGACTGAATTTATTTTCTATGTGGCATGTATATTTATTTGAATGAACCCAAAAATCTTAAGTCTATGGATGTGAGTGGATATAGATATATTGAGATTTGAATGTTTTTTTTTTTTGGTTAACCAGATTAATTTTGAAAAATATGATTTTGTTAGTTTTTATATGTATTTTAAGTTTTTATTAAAATAATATATAAAATAAATTAATTAAAATTATTTTAAGGTAAAAATATGAGATAAACTATTAACGTGATAGATAGTGTTAAAATTGAGTTAGATTTTAAATTGTGATTGAATTTGAGTATGAATATATTTATATTCACTCACACTCTAGATAGTTTGTGTTCGAAATATCTGCAAATCTTAGAATGTCCTACAAAATTTTAGTGTTATATAACTTAAATACCTCATGACTTTGAAATTGCAATTAGACATGGCCAACTGTCGGGCCAGTTCACGATCTGGCCTGGCCTGCCAGTTGCCAGGTCTCAAAGCAAGGGCCCAGAACAGGCCCGACTTATATGTAAGGGCTGGTTCACTTCAGCGGCTCGAACCGGCGGTTCATGAACCGTCGGTTTTTAAAAAATAACAAAAAAAATAAAAAATAAAAACCAATGTCAACCAGGAACCGACGAGTTATAAAAAAAAGGACGTGGAACTGGCTCGATATTATTGTCGATATCCGAGTTAGCCCAGAATGAACCGGGAAGACTTAGCCCCTCAAGACCCGGGCTGAGAACCCGGTCTGGCACAGGAGTGCCGAGCTGAACAAAAAAATAAAGTACTCAGGACCACCATAGAAACGTTTCCCGAGACCGGCACCCGGTTCAGTACGTGTAATAGCCGACCTGGGTGAGTGTCGGGCTGAAAGTAGGTTCCTGGCTGTCTTATGAGCACATTCGAGAAAAGTGCCGACCTGGAGACCCGGGGTGGCCATCCCGAAGGAAAGGGTGGGATTCGGCGAACATTATAATATTCCCACTTGTAAGGTCATCATTGGACGATGGGACGGGTTGTCATAGCCCAGCACCCTACAAGCAAGCCTAGTCAAGAAAGTCTGCCAACATTAAATGCCCCACATGCTTGCATTAAATGTCTG